ACTTACAAACTCCATAAAGCTGTGCTGTTTTACAAAACGAGTTTCCATTTTAAACTGATCTCAAGATCAACTTTTTCACTGGAGATGAAATACATTTTTTAGATCCCATGATCTCAATCACTTATATATAAAGTTTTTAAACATTTTCCACAAAGTATTTGTTTATAAAATCAACTAATTAGCTATTTTGTGGTGGAAATGTTAAAAGCTTTAGTTTGTCTGCAAACTTATAAACTTATCAAAAATTGTTATTTTGTAAACCAATTTTTAAAATGTTAATTAAATATTCATTATTTGCTCAAAACATAATTGTTAACCTGGAAACCTTTAAATTGGTATATAATGTTGGCTTTAGTGAAGTATGTGCTGAAATATAAGTAAAATTCCTTATTTTTTTGCTGTCAACCTAGAAGTGTTTGAGTATGGAAAAAAAATTGTCAATATCATTTCTATCTTTTATGGTAAAACTTTTGGATCAAACTTTTTTTGCCGATTTGATGCCAACAGTAAAAGATTACTATATCTGTCCAACAACATCTATAGAGTAGTCCAAAATCATCTGTACACTTTTGCCCAAGATCATCTATATATTTTTTTACTCCAACAACATCTGTCCAATATCATCTGAAAATTCAATGACCCCTAACAACATCTTCAGGAAGATGTAACTACATCTGGTAATTTTTCTCCACATCTAATAACATTTTGAAGAACTTCCTTCAGATGTAATGACATCTGAAAAAAATTCTTATATGAACTACATCTAGTTAAAGAATTTAATATTTTTTTTAGATGTACCTAAATCTGAAAAAAACCATATATGTAACTTCATCTGATTAAAATAATGCATTATAATTTAATAATTTCATAAAGTCCTGTAGTTATATTTAATATAATTAAAAATATGTAACTACATCTGTAGAATTCACAGACGCAGTTCTATAGATGTAGTTATTCTTAACATAATCGAAAAGATGTAACTACATTTGCAAAATCTTCAGGCGTAGTTGCACAAATGTTGTTTGAAGAAGAAGCTGAGAAAGTTAACGTTCAACTTCATTTTTTCTCAGCTTCTTCTTCTTATTTATTTGAAAAAATGTAACTACATCTGTAATAATCATATAATTTTTACACAGATGTTATTAAACATCAATGAAATTTCAGATGTACAGATGTTACTTTACCTCAGTGTTGTTGAACAGATGTTATTAGACATAGCAAAAACTGATATTGTTAACCTGACCCATGCCAACCTCTAACAGATAAAGATTGGGAAACTGCTGACCTCATTTGACCTTATTCCTTGGGCTAAATCCTGAAAGTTTGTTTGCGTGAGGCAAAAAAACTGTTTCAAACTACGAGAAAAAATGTTCAGATTCCATCCAGCCTGAACTACTACTGTTATAATAAACATTCTGGGCACTGCCTTTGCACCAGTCTTTCATAACATGTTTGCCTTTATAAATTATTTGATGAGGTAAATAATTACCGAATGCGTCACAACAAGTCAAGATTGTCATCATTTGCTTTTCATTCGATGGTGCTAGCTTAATAGGGTTTGTTGTTCCTTTTCTACAAATAATTTTTACTTTGCCTATATATATATATACATATATATATATATATATATATATATATATATATATATATATATATATATATATATATATATATATATATATATATATATATATATATATATATCAGGCTTAGACAGTAATGCATGCGATGGCACGCAGTAAATGGCCACGCTTATAATATATTTCTTTACAATTTGACCACAACAGGTTTTGATGTTTTAACAACATAAATACAATAAAAAAATTGTTACATAAAAAACTGGTTGATCTTTTCTAAAGGTTTTATGTGAAAGCTTTAAATAAAATAAAAAATTAACTATAGTGATTGTTTAAAATCAATGTATTATGTGTAAAATAACAAACGATGTTATATTTAATTTTTTTTTAATGTAGGCATGTATTTTTTATGATAAATTTAAATATAATAATTTGTTTGAATACCGTAAAAACCTCTAATTCCGGATGTAACCTAATTCCGGATGGTTTTAGTAAAAAGTTTCATAACTTCCTTAATATAATGAATTTTTTTTCAATTAATAAACGCCTTTACCAGACAAATCGAAAAATATAAAAAAAAAATTATAAACTAATGCAATCATGAAAGATTTCAATTTGAGATCTCTCATAACTAAAAAAACAAAAAAAAAGGAAGAAAAAAACTTTGACTTGCAACAAAAAAATTAAAAAAGTAAAAACACTATTTTGTGCAGAATTTTATGCTGATTATTTTAGCCAAAAAAATCAAATTACCTTTTGAAATAATTGAAAAAAATGAAAAATTTATTTTTTATCACTTTCATGCACATAATATAATATATTATGTTCATTAAAGTAATAAAAAATAAAAAAGCCACAAGGGAAAAAATAATTGACACTAATCCAGGTACAGCTATGTTTTCTTTAGCATCCATAAAGTTAACGCATTTGTGTTAATTGTATTACTGTATTAAAAAATATGGATAACTTTAAACAAAAAGAAAAGCGAGAGAGTCGAATATAGCTAGCGATTCAAGCTATTACTGAAAAAAAAATGTCATACATACAAGCTGCTAAGTGTTATAATGTGGCAAAACCTACACTTTTTGACAGAACAAAAGGATCATCTAATAATTGAGGAGCGCCAAGGAAGATGAGCAACATCACTGAAGCTATTATTGTTGATTTATTAAAATTTATGAGTGATATAGGCTTTGGCTTGAATAGAAAAGACGTGTTTATTGTTGTGGAAAACTATTTAAAAGAATCAAACCAACATAGTCTATTTAAAGACGGCAAACCGACTAGAAAATGGTACTCCGGTTTTATGAATAAATATCGTAAAGAAATTTGCCCAAGAAAAGTAAGCGGTATGCAAACTATTAGAGCTGTGGCCACACAACCAGCTATAATTGACAATTGGTTTGAGCAATTAGCAGTAGCATATAATGAACATAATTTAGGCGATAAGCCGTTTCAAATATTTAACTGTGATGAGTCTGGTTTGCAATTTGATCAAGGCAAAATCAAAATTATTTGTAGAAAAGGAACAAAAACCCTAAAAAGCTAGCACCATCGAATGAAAAGCAAATGACGACAATCTTGACATGTTGTGACGCATTCGGTAATTATTTACCTCATCAAATAATTTATAAAGGCAAACATGTAATGAAAGACTAGTGCAAAGGTGGTGCCCAGAATGTTTATTATAACAGTAGTAGTTCAGGCTGGATGGAATCTGAACATTTTTTGTCGTGGTTTGAAACAGTTTTTTTGCCTCACGCAAACAAACTTTCAGGATTTAAAGTTCTAATACTTGATGGCCATGCTTCACATATGAGCTTAGAGTTGAAAAAAAAAGCTTTAGAAAATTATATTTTACTTTGGCGTTTGCCGGCTCATACCAGCCATTTTTTACAGCCACTAGATGTTGGCGTTTTTAAAACAGTAAAGGCACATGGAAGAGAATTATCGAAAGTTATTTGACTAAAAATCACTTTTAAAGCCTGACTAATCAACATTTTCCGACCATGTTTAAGGCTCTTATCAAAAATGGTGGGTTTAAACTTGAAAATGCACAGAGTGGTTTCAAAAATACTGGTATATTTCCACTCGATCGTTCGCAAATTTCTTCTAAAAAAACTTCCAGTGCTGTGTTTCAAGCTGTCAAAAACAACAATATTGAAAATTTATTTGATTCTTCAACAGTATCTAGTCCATTAGTTAGGGGAAATGCTACCAATACACCTAACACACCGTCAAGAATGTCAAATTGTGAATTTTTGCTTAAAAGCTTTGCTACTTTGAATAATGCTGTTCAACAAGTGGGCAAAGATAAACAAATCAGTGTTAAATATGTACAAAGATAAACAAATCAGTGTTAAATATGTACAAAGATAAACAAATCAGTGTTAAATATGCTTCGAGACACAATTGACACCAACTCTAAATAAAAGAATTCAAAAGAGTGAGAGAATAAAGCGACTAGCAAATTATAAAATATCTTTGGCGGATGCCATAGCTTACGTTAAAGCTGAACAAGCATCAAAAAAACAAAAATTAGCTGAACAAGCTGCAAAGAAATTTACTAGAGAACAAAAAAAGATTTCCACTGCTACTCAAAAAGCGAAAAATGCACTGAAAAGAGAAGAAAAAAAAGAGACAAAGTCAGTCATCTAAAATACCAGGTAAAAAAGGTATAAAGACAAAGAATCAATTAGAAGACCCTCATTTTCCTCAAGCTTCAAATAACATTTTAGTATCTGATGATCTTCTATGTTATTCTTGCAAAATTAATTGGACAAATAACTTAGATAACCAATGGCTTGCGTGTGAGCAGTGTTCAAATTGGTCATGCATTGAATGTGTCTTACAAATAAATTCCATGGTTGGATTATCATCCAACCATGGAATTTATTTGTAATGAATGTGTATAAAATAATATATATTCTTTTTTTATTAAACGATTTCATTTTTTTAATGGATTAAAATAATTATTTTAACGTTAGTATTATTTGTGTATGTGTTTTTCTGTATTTTATATGCGCATTCAAAATTAGGGACATAAACACCTAATTCCGGATAAAAACAATATTTTTTATCCGGAAAAAAGATTATTTTTTATAAAAAATATTATTTTAATAAGATTATTAAAATAATATTTTTTATATCGTTTGATTTGTGTTGTTATGAAGTTTATTTATTTAAAAAAATTATTTCAAAATTCTTTATATTGAGCTAGTTATGACAATTTAAGTCCTAAACCATCCGCAATTAGGGGTTTTTACGGTATATATATATATATATATATATATATATATATATATATATATATATATATATATATATATATTAAAACAAAAATTAGTACTATTTATTACCTTTTAGGTGAATTAAAAATGTAATATAAATGTAAATGTAATATAAATATAATTTAAAACTTACTTAGGCAGTCTGTGTCTTGGACAAGGTATAAAGCGGAACAACTGAGGTATTGAGTACAGAAAGTTGAATATCTGAGGTAAAAAAAAAAGTAACATAGTTTTACTAAAATGACCTAAAATGGCCACCACTGCGAATGTCATCCCAGAGAAGTAGCAAAACGTGTCTCCAACAAATACTTCAGAAGGATACCTAGTAAAAGAACAGAAAAATGTCAAATATCAGTAAATATCTTTAAATACAAATATGAATAATGTTATTTTAATGCATGCTATAAACAAAGTTTATTCACCAGTTATAGAACAACAATGCTGTTGAAACAAAACAGTATGGAAGTATGAAGTATAATGAAAAAAGATGTCTTTTCCAAGAATCTCCTGATAATTCCATAAAATTAAAAAGCAGTATTGATAACCCAATAACTAATGACTGCCCAGTCTCTAGACCATTTACACCAGCAAGTATATTTATAGCATTTGTACAGAAGACAGCCAACATTCCCATATAAATGTAGTAAAAAACACCTATAACAATGTATGAAAATATATATATAGATTCATGTTTATTTAATAATTTCGAATAACTTATTTAAAAAAGATATTAATATGCACTTAGATGGCCATGAAGCAACACTGAAGAGATAATGATATCTGAATATCTAATAGTATCTGAAGAAATACTGACATACAGTATTGTGCAAATTAGTTCGGACAGTGGCAAAATCGGAATAATTTTCACAATATGCCCAACTTTTAGCTATGATACTAAAGATTCTCTTGTTTTTTCAGATAAATAAGTGTTTTACTGTAGTCTAGTAAAATATGGAAAATAATTGTCTTATTTCAACCACTGCAGGCCTTGTTTTAAAGCGTTACACCTAGAGCGATTTACGTACGCCTTAAGCGATTTTTACGTACGCGTAGAGCTGTTTTGGTTAAGCTACTTTTTATCATTTTTATACAAATATACTTTTTATCATTTTTATCAAAGAAGTAATTAATTTTTAAAAAAACCACATTAACTTTTAAACGGTATGTAAAGATATTTATTACAAAAAAGAATTTACGTTAAAAATAATTGTTGTAACTTTTCATCGCGATATATCTTACCTTTTTATAGCAATTAATTTTACGCTAAACTTTTTATCCAAATATTTAGCAATATGAAAAATTGTTCGTCAATCCTTAACTACAAATTTTTTGCTGTTTTTAACAAAAAGTAGTAATTTTTTAAAGTTTTCAGTAAAAAACTTTTAAAAAATCTATATTCCATATTTATTAATACAGAATATAAATGTTTTTTGTAATATAGATTTTTTAAGATTTTTTACTGAATTTATAATAAAAAACATTTGCAAAAAAATTTGTAATTAAGGATTGACATTTTTTTTAATATCTCAAAAAAATCACGATAACAAAAATATCAAGACATTTTTTCTAGATATTAAAAAAAATGTGCCAATGAATCAACAACCTATTTGTATTTTTCTAAAAATTACTTTTTTAATTATTACTCTTTGCTTTTCTTATTAGTTAAAGGTATATAGTAACCTTTACCTTTAAGTTATGCGGGGGAAGGGGGCAGGCACAGAAAAAAAAATTACCTGTTACTCACAATTTTTGAATTATAACAATTTGTTAAATTTCTTCTGCATGCGATTCAATAAGTTTTTTTCATAAATCAAGTTATATTATAAGGTAAAGAAATCACGAGTAGACTATAATATCCGCTGATGACACTAATATTACATTGAAGATATTTATATAATGGAGGTTTCATTATGCACGCGCACATTACAGATTCCGTTAAATAAATACTAAGGCACATTTTAGTTTAATGACAGTCTCTAATTTTTACTAATGAATATGTATTTTTCTTTATAAAACAAGACAAACTAGTATATAAAAACCTTGTATATTTCTTTTCTCTCTAAATTGTTAAAGTTCGAATATGGATTGTATTTTGAAGTACGAAAAGTTTACTTTAAAAACTTTTAAATCTTGGGACTTTGCTAATGCTTTGCCGATGCGATTATCACAGAAAAAGAGAAGACTTACGGTATTAAAATCAAATGTAAGTTATGTGATCTTCATCAAAATAAAATATTATCCAAAAACAATGGTGCCGTAAGGGCAGCTGCCCTACGGTTTATAAATAACACAAGTCATGTTAAAATATTTTAACATGTTACTATATTTTGATTAAGTTGATATATAAATAAAAATAAAAATATAGTTCAATAAATAAATTAAATTTGTTCTTAACAAAGATTATCTCATATCTATTCTTTTTTTATTTTATAAAGTTAAATTGCTTACAAACGAAAAAAAAAAGAGTTTTGTAATTATACGTAGAATGAAATACTTTTGAGTTTGTTTAAGTTAAGGAACTTAATTTTTAATAAACAAATTTTTACGAACGTTTAATATAAACAGATACGATTCAAATTATTAAATATACTTATATTATTTTAGTTGAGTAGAGTATTTTTTTAAGTTTGCATGATTAAAGTTTTGCGTAGAAGTATTTGTTTTTTGTTAAAAAAAAAAAAGATTTAATTGTTAAAAAAGATTTTTCTGTATAGCTCTCTTTCTTTGTGATTTGTTTAAAATGTAAAACATTTTTACAATAACATAAAAAATTTATGAATTAAATTTCTGGCAAACACGTTCTAAACTATGTATAAAAAATATGCTCAAAGCAGACAAAACTTTTTTATATTTTTATATAACGCAAGTTAAAACGCCAAGCAAGATAAATTTAAAAAATATTTAAAAACCTAAATTATTCTTTGCTAGTCAAAACAAAATCGCTGTTTAAATAATTGACATGGGTTTTTGTTTATCAATGTTGATATTTTTTGTTTATTATTTTTTATTCAATAACAATTTATAAACAATAATTATTCAAAAACAAATTTCAGAAATAGTTAAAATATATATGAAGAGTTTATTTTCAAAACGCGGTAAACGCCATTTTAAAAATTTTTTAGAAATTGTGTGGTTTATTTTTAGTTTATAAGGACCTAGCAGACATTGTGTCCGAATATATGCTAAACGAAGTATAACCCAATATTTTTTCACTTCTAAAAAACATTTATTTTCAAAACGCGGTATAAAATTTTTTATTTGTTTTCAAAATGGGGTATTTAATTTTGACCAATCCGTGGCAAATGTATATTACTTCTGCGCAAGCGCAAATGATTTAAAGTTGCGTTAAAGAAATGGCGGATTGCGATGGACAAGATTAATGCGTTACCTATTATCCTATTTCACATAGAAAAAAAGATATGATGTATGAAACAAAAGAAAAGAAAAGCATTTCTTAATTCTAGTGTTCGTTTAAACTACAATGCTTTGTTTGTTTAACTGAACGAATTATGGAATAATGACAGAAAATATATTAAAAAAGCAACTTAAATTAATAAGTTTAAATATATTTGTTACCTTTTTTAATGGAATACTTCCTTTTTATTTTTTGTTAAACCGACAATTGCTTTGTTGCAAATAAAATGAGGCTATTGCAGTCTTTCATTTTTAAAATTTTATTCCGTTCAAAAATATAACGATGACTTTTATGTTATATTAATTGTCCATTAGTTCTATGGAGACTTAAAAATAGTGATCATCATTGTTACAACTACACAACACTAAAAAAATATTATTGTTTATTGTCCATATTTAACTCTCCAAAACAAATATAAATTTACAATTGCGAATTGTGAAATGTAATAGTTTACATTACTTTAATAAAACATTGTTTACATTCACATTATCAATAAAATATAGTGACCAAACATTAAATACACATATTTGTTTAATATGTTAAATAAAATTAATCATTAAAACTTATTCAGGTCTTTTAAAGTTTAAAAACTTTCCATAACATCTTTATAAAATGGATATACCGCATTTTGCTAACAAGCTTTAATTGGATATACAGTATTTTAAAAATAAATGCAAACTTATTGACAAAAAAAATAAATTTTTTTATTTAATAATATTTTATTTATTAACATTATATAATATACTTTATGTATATATACATTAAGAAACAATAATTTTTCCAAATATACGAGACATGTTGGTGTGGCGAAAAAAGTCAATTATCTCAATACCACAAAAATGGATATACCGCATTTTGAAAATACACTCTTCATATATACATATTTTTTTTTTTACAAATAATATTGAACTAAATTTAATAATAAAATAACAATTGAAAACATTACAAACTTTTCATAATAAATTTACATTTAAAACCTTTATAGTTATTTGAGTTAATTGTTAAATTAAACTAGTTAGCGGTTATTTATTTATTGCGAATTTAAAACACTTAATGTCTATAAAAAAAATTAAGATAATTTTATGACGTCAAAATTGCGTTAAGCTAATGCATTAAGCACTTTTTTATTTAAAACAAGGCCTGCACTGTCCGAACTAATTTGCACAATACTGTAGCTATCTGGTTTCAGGCAAACTACATATAATGGAAATTTACAACTAATAAATACATATTTTTGTTTTTTTATCTTTTTTCTTTTTTTTTGTTTTATTCAAATAACTAAAAATTACTCTGCAAAATATATTAGAACAATCAAAATAGGCAGGAATAAATAACAATTGTGTGTATAATACAAACTTTTTCTTGCTTCTAATATACTGTTGACTCTCACCAGTTTCTCTTCTTAAAACAAAACAAGTTAACAAGTTTCGTAAGTAAATCATAAATGTATCTTTTTGAAAATGATATTTTGTTTTTTTCATTTGTTTTATATTTCAATCAATTAATTCTTATATTATTTGGTATATATGTTTTGGTATGCTGCAGAACAATTTTTTGTTTTGGCATGCTACAAAACTTTTTTTATTTTGTATACTACAAAGTTTGATATAAGTACTAAAATAATAATGGAACATTTAAAATTCTCTAGCACTTGACTAAATCATTTAACCATAAAACTTAAAACTAGAGTTATAGCAGGTGGAATGAGAGGACTTCTGCAAAAGCTAAATATGTCGGAAATTAATTTATAACTGAGGTTTTCAGCTAATTGATTAAATATTCTGATTTGATATAATTTAGATTAAAAATTTTTATTCACTCATTTTATCCATTTCTATATAATTTAGTTACTGTAAAATAGTAAAATTATGTTACTGTAAAGCTTTTACCTTGTTATTATATTATATTATTTTTAATAAATTTATTTTAAACAACAATATGCAACCAAATCAACTATAAGTTTGTATCTTCAATGCATTTTTAATAAAATATTATTCAAATCATTTTTAATAAAAATGGCTTGTCCCAAGTCACATGAACAGTAATATAAAAACATAATAAGTAGTAAAAGAATATCCAAGACACAACCTTGATCCCTTCATATTTACTTGCCTATGAAATAAAAAAAGAAATAATTCAATTTTGAAAATCTGATCAAATCATTTATATGACAATCAAAACAACAGCCAATCAAAGCAACAGCCTTTTGACCAACCACAAATCCAAGTTGATTATATATTGCGCTTTGTAAATAACATATAAGAAAAAAAAGTTTTTTTTTACTTTATTTAACTATCCAATGCTGCAGGAGTTGATTGTCATTTTTTTTTTTTTTTTTTACTGTTACACTGCTACATTTTTAAAACTGTTGTTACACCATCTCTCAAACTCAAGCCTTGACAAACAAGGCCACTGAGAAACATTTCTTTGTTTGATCAGTCTTCATTATTAGCAAGGTCTTTAATTCTTTAAACAAATCAACAAATTTCTAACATCCTATTTTGAGTCTAATAACTTCTTCTCAAAAAATCAATGGGATAGCAATCTTCTCAATCTATGAGTGACTTGCTAACTGCTGCAACTAAAAGATTCTATTGTGCATTAGATAGAGAAAGCAAGGCCATTCTATTGTGCATTAGATAGAGAAAGCGAGGCAAAGCATATTTTTCTTGATATTTCAAAAACTTCAATAAAGTTTGGTATGATATTCTCCACAAGTTTCTCCACAAGTCCACACATCTCCTAGCCTTCTCCACAAGTTTGTTTCATATGGTGTATCTGGGACAGTTTTTGAAATTTTCAAATCATTTCTTCTTAGCCACAGTATAAAGGTCATCCTAGAAGACCAACACTTTACTTTATTTCTAGTAACTTCTGGGGTACTCAAGGTTCTTTTCTTGGTCCTGTATTGTTTATCTATATCAATAATATTCATCTAAAGTTGCTCTATTTGCCAACAACTTAATTTTATATTCCTGCCTTGTCAAAAAGTCTGCATTTTTTAATGGATTTTTTAATGGATCTAATCGGATTTCTCTTCTGGAATAGGTTGTGGCTTGCAATACCTTGTGAACTTTAACTTATTCCACTCTCTACCTATACAAATCTCTTATTTGTCCCTGGAATACTGTTGTCATGTTTGGGCATCTTCTCCTAATGATGCTCTTTCTATTGTCAAAACATTGTCAAAAAGTGTATGTAAATATAATCGGACTTGTTCTAGTCAAGCTCGAGCCACTTTCCCATCATCATTAGGTTGCATCTCTTTCTTTTTTCTGCAAATAATATCATAGTCACTTTCTCTTCAACTGTCACATCAAATTTTTATAGTCAAAATAGTCTCAATTTTAACAAATATTTTTTAGTAAAAGTGTTAAAAAGTTGTAAAAACAAATATTTTTTAGCAAAAGTGAAAAACAGATTTTAATATTTTTATTATTTTAATTATATAAAAATTTTAATATTTACTATATTAATTTTAAAGCATTTTTTTATTTTTTCCTCTGTCATATCATGCATTAGGTGCATGTTATGACAGAGGGGGAAAAAATTGTAAATTTGGAGTTCAACATAAGTATTAGTATATTTTTTTTTATTTTTTGTAAAATTTCATTTCAACCCGTATACAGACAGTAGACACTTCAGTCAATGTTGTCAAAGTGAGATTTTTTACAAACTTTGAAGAAAAACTTTATAAATCTTTTATGTTTATTTGGAGAAATGATTACAAACTTCTCAATTAACATGTTTCTATACGAAGATCAAAATTCAAGACAAAAGGTTAAGAATACATTTAATAGTTTTAAAACTTATCAGAGAAGGGCACATAAAAGTTAAAACATAAAAATTTAACTAAATACATGTATTTACCGCTTATGTTCATTCTTTGGATTTTTATAAATATGTTTTTGAACTTGGAAATGTTGTTGAAAATAATACATCTAAATGTATTATTTTAAATTAATTATACCTAAATTTAAATGCAATCCCAACCAAAAGCGCATTGGAGATGGAACCACAACTGTAGTAGAGCCAAAGTTTACAAAGTAAACCATAAGTAATGGAAGAGATGCAATGGTAGGCAAGATTAGCTTGTATCTCCATTGAAGATCAAGAACGTCATCAGCAAATCCCAAAAGAATCATGCAGCATATAGATAATAAAGCTGCCATGAACTCAACAAACTAAAAAAAAAAAATCTTTATTATTCTAATTAAAATTCTGATAAATTTAAAATTATATTATTAGTGATATTTGTTTTGTATCCTATTATCAAGTTATATTATATTAATATATTTGTAATTATCCACAATAACAAGTGCTCGTTGATGCTAAAACATTATTAATTGCAAAATGAAATACATTTTTACATAAATTTATAAAAACAACTATTTATTAAAAAAGATTAAAAAATCCTTCCCCTGTAATGACATACATGAATGTTCTAGATACATTAAAACTCATTTCCAATACTAATATTTATGTACAAATATAAAAATAACAAAAAGTGTTTGGACAATACTTGATATTTTTATAACATCTTATTTTCAAAAATACAATCTTTAATTAAATACCAACCACAACTATCACTTAAGCATAGAAAAATCAGAAAAAGTCAAATTTTTTAAATTATGAGGTAATAACTTGACAACCTCAATCTTTAAAAGGCCATCATCAGGTCGGCAAAAAAAATTTGATACAAAGGTCTTACGATTTTGCGTGTAGCTAGGGCTATTTGCGCAGAGCAAAAAAATTTTTGTTTGAGTATATTTAAAGATATTTTTGAGCGGAATTTTAATGAAGTAATTTACGATTATTTTAACATTTAATAAATTTAAAAAATCCCACGCGGTTGGTATAAAAAATTGAATTTACAAAAAAATTAAATATGCTTATTATTTACAAGTAGAAAAAATTCAGACTAAAAAAAAATTTCAAATCTTTAAGCTAACATTTTAATAAAATTATTCAGCAATAGCAAAGTTGTCGATAAAACTGAAGAAAAATACTTTCGTTTAATTTTTGATTTTTAACTTAAATAATTATTTTACGGGGGTTTGTTAGGTTTTAAAATTATACCATAGATTTAAAATATTTATTAACTGTTAGACGTATTTAAAGTATTTAAGAGGATTTTTGAGGAAACATTTTAAAAATTGGTAAGCGCAAATAAAAAAATAAAAAGATTAATATTAAAACGTATTCTACTTGATTCAATAAAAAAGTACAGTTATTAAAATTTTTGTAAAAAGTAACTCAAAAAAAACTAATGAAATAATAACAATCGCTTTTTTGTTAAAAGTTACCAAAACTCAACAAAGCGTGCTCAAAAACAGCTGTTGAAAAATAGATCATCAATAATTTGATAAGTTTATATAACCTGGTTTTGTTACCCGGTTTCTACCAATGTAAAGCAAATTTCCACAAACACCCTGAAAAAGGCTCAATAACGTAAAAAATAAAATAAAAATTAATTTGAACCTGTAATCTTAAGCCATTTCATAAAACTTAAAATATAAAGTATATCTAAATGAGGACATATATAAAACGTGCATTAATTTTTTTCTTAAAAAAAAAAAAGGTGTTTTACTAATAATGCTAGTGCAAGTAGATTTTATTTTACTAGAAATAAAATTCTTTGTAAACATTAAAAATCTATTTAAAACGTTCGTTAAAGTTTTTTAGTAATACGAGTGATTGTGCTTATCAACCGCTTTATGAAAATAAATAAAAATAAATAAAATTAATATTATATAAAATCGCTGGTAAAAATATTAGCTATTGCACAGTTTTTAATCATACAATATTAAAATTTCTAGTTTATTACACGCTGACTTTATAAAAAGAAAAAATATTTATTTGAAAAACTTTAAATTACATATTTAAGAAAAAAAAATCAAATATTAGCATATTTTATAATCTTTTTTAAATGTTATGTTTTTTATTCGTTTAGTTAGGTTTTTTATTCGTTTAGTTAGACAAAACATATCAAACGTCGAAAAAATAAGCAAATGTTTTTACAAAAATTTTAAAAAACAAAACATTCAAAATAATAACATTTCTACATTAATGATTTATAGTAGTTTTGCGGTAATTAAGTAAATTGGTGCAGTTAATGTCGATAAATATAAAAAGCAAATAAAAAGAATTTAATGACGTCTAAAATCACGTCGTGCTTATGCGTTGCGCAGTTTTTATTCATCACAAGGCCTGATATATATATATATATATATATATATATATATATATATATATATATAATATATATATATATATATATATATATATATATATATATATATATATATATGTATATATATATATATATATATATATATATATATATATATATATATATATATATATATATATATATATATATATATATGTATATATATATTTGAATAGGCTTAATGAGAACTACATACAAACAATACTCTTAAAACTTAACATGCGCAAAATTGCAAATGTAGACGGTATTCACCCACATGTTCTCAACAAATGTTGTTTATCTCTGAATTACTTATATATTTATAAAATCTGTTTCTGAAGGTCAAGTCCCAGCTGCGTGGCTGGAAGCTAACACTACACCACTTCACAAAAAAGGATTTAAACTTGATGCATCAAACTTGAGACCCATTTCTTTAACTTCTGTCTGCTGCAAAATCCTAGAGCGTATTGTAAAAGATTATTTAACTGAGTATCTATGTGCTAATAATCCTTATCTTAAAATCAGCACTGGTTTGTGTCAAATAAATCATGGATTACAAATTTATTGGAAATTGTTGATCAGATCTCGTACTTAATGACAAGAGGCTATAGTGTAGATGCTTTATATCTTTATGAAAAAGTATTTGGCACACCTCATAATCCTATGCTTCACAAACTTTCTGGATATGGTATCTCTTATATGCTTCTTAATTGGATAAATTCTTTTCTTTCTAGCAGAACACAACGAGTTGTCATAGGTCCACTACATCAGATTGGTTACCAGTCACCAGTGATGTCCTACAAGGATCTGTTCTAGGACCTCTTTTATTTACCTTATACATCAATGACATTACAGACCTTATTAGCAATCCAATGAAGTTATATGCCGACGACAGCAAAATTAGTTCCACCAACTTGACACCTTAAACTTGACCCAGCTTTGCTCCAGAAAGAAAGAAATCACATCACGCCTTGGACTCTAACCTGGCGCTTACGTCTCAACTACAAAAAGTGCCTTATCGTACGTTTTAACAAAAGTAAAAATCCTAATCACCAATACTATCTTGACTCAGCAAGGGATGTAGCTTCTTGATTATATATATATATATATATATATATATATATATATATATATATATATATATATATATATATATATATATATATATATATATATATATATATATATATATATATATATATATATATTTATATATATATATATATATATATATATATATATATATATATATATATATATATATATATATATATATTTATATATATATATATATATATATATATATATATATATATATATATATATATATATATATATATATATATATATAAATATTAATAGCCAAATGAATATTAGTGCGCATAGTTACACATTGTGACACCTATTGTTCGTTTTGTTTATTACGGTTCTTCATTATGTAAAATACACTGTTACTTAGTTGTTTCTAGACTTTTCTAAGCGCAGTTATATATTCCTAGCGGTCTTTCGAGTAAAATCAGCAAGCAAATTGGAGCTGATACACTTATTTTCAAGAAGAATTGATGTTGTTTATTTTTTTAAATAAAAATTTAAATAATTGTTAGTTTGTTATGTATATATATATATGTATATCTATATGTATTTTCTCTTAGCAAAAATAGTTGAGAATAGAAAAATAAAAAAAATCTCTTCTGGAAATTGTCAAAAGAGTGTTGTGTTATGCTACATTTTAAGGTATCTGAATATTTTTTTATTAGAAATTTTTAATTTTGTTCTTAAATGGTTTTATCTTTTTTATTACTTTTGATAAATATATACTGACTGACATAAATTCATTTTTATTGCAAAAAATCAGACTACAAAAATGCACAATGCTGTGCATTTTTGTAGTCTGATTTTTTGTTACATTAATAATAATTGGTGGTAATAAATGTTTTTTTATAGTTGTTAAAAGTTTGCATATATGTTTATATTATACTCAAAGTTAAAAAATTTTTGATAAAACGTGTATGTGGTGATATGTTATATAGTTGTTTTATAAATGTGTTTTTATAATAGTATGAAATATATTTTATCTAATGTGTATATGATTGTTAAATGAGGTGTTTTTATATGTTATATAACATTAAAAAAATATATTGTGTTTTATAGTTAGTATATATGTTAATATAACGTTGTTTCCATTATTTCAAAGTGGTGTGACTTGGCAAACGTGTAGAGCAATATTTGTCAACCTTACCAGTCATGCAGTGTTACTGCTTTAAGTCTAAGATTTCCTTTCAACCTTTCATGGTATGAGTTCAAAATGTCCAAGTTGATATTAAGTAGATAATGTTTATTAGCTTAAAATTATAGGTAATCTAAAATTTTATTTAAATTTAAAAGTAATTAATTTATTGTAATCTTTTTTAAATTGTAATTTTAAATTTAAAGCTTCGTGTTATAGATTACTTTAATTCTTAGATTGTGTCTAGCGTTAAAATATATTTATGGGTAGTTTCATACTTTCACATAGTTTTGGTTATTGGGATAAAAGCCATGACAACATTTCGTTATAAATTTATCTTAATCTAATTTTTATTGAAAATTTTGATATAAATAAAATTTATCTTTAATATTGTTAATACTTTTGCTCTTTGAAAAAAAATATGTTTCTGGCTCTTCAATAAATATAAAATAATTTGTCTTGCATGAATGAATTTTAGTTTAGGATTTAATTGTGTTGTTTATGTTTGTCTATCTGTAATTTATTTAGGTTATTAGAAAATTCATGTTTACAGAGTTGTTATTAATCATAATCGAGTTGCTAAACCAAAGAAATTGTGGGCGTTTATTTATCATATATACTATATATATTATATAAAAAATTTTGGTTTTCATATGTTTTCCCTAATAAATAGTTCTATATATATATATATATATATATATATATATATATATATATATATATATATATATATATATATATATATA